GTGTTTTTTGTTAATTGTTCTTAATTGGTCCAATATTAATAAATGAAACTGTAGATGTGAACAATGCATTCAGTCGCGAATATATCATAACGAATGGATTAAAAATCTGATCTGAAGTTTACGATATTCTGTTGGGACGTGATCATGTTTTTAATCAAATCTTGAAAATTATAAAAGACGTGCACGTGTCGTAAACATTGGTGTCAGTGCTCCATAAGGTGGCCTTCCGTGGCCTATAGTGGTCTATCGATGAATAAAAATAAAGATATCCACCTTTTGCCTGAATGCCCGTATTTTTAATCAAAGGCCGCGCAGCGAGACGCGGCTTACACTTTCCTCAATTCCGTTGAAAGTGTTCTCGCAAAATAGCCTCGTGACAGAAATAACGCGTTCCCGATAAAAAGCTCGTTGTTACGTTATGTAATGACACGCACGTGTCTCAACGATGCCAATCTGCTCGCATTGTTATTCGTTTGTCTTTCTTTTTGTGATAAAGCATCGCGTATGCGAACTTCTCTGTGTTTTTTGAAAATGTTGAAAATTCGGGCTATCGGATAGTTTCAACATCCTGCAGATAGAAATCTTCATTTTACGTATCTCTTGTGAATAATTGCGGCGTGCATAAATTGTGGAATATTTTTAATATCTCTGAAATCTGCAAAGTGATTTTCTGCGTGATTAGTCGGACAGTTTCAATATTTCAGCCATCATGCGGATTTAGAAACCTCATTTCACTTATTCTTCATCGACGAAAGTTGTGAATATGAACTGAAATTTATATATAAATTGGAACTTTATGCAATTTTTGTCCTATTTTTATTAAGTGTCAAGTTTGATCTTTTGAGTTCTTAGGCAGATAATTTCAATATTTGAGATACTTTACATATTTGGATAGAAGTATTAATTCTAGTTCTTTTTTTTTTAATGATATACGCGACTAAAGACTTAATCGCTTTAAGAATGTAAATATCAGAAACTAGAAATGGCGAACTGCTACTTCAACTTGTCGATCAATCGTTAAGGGCCAAGTTCGTAACTCTGTGTAAACTCATCACATCCTTAACTGAGACTTTTTCATCTTTCAATGGTGCTACTTTATGTGTTCTTCAAAACTTTTAAATGAATCCGAAGTTCAACAAAATCTTCGTCGCAAAAATTCTCGAACGTCGCTCGGAAACTTTCCATCATTCGTTTTATTCAAACGTTGCCCCTGATATTAAAATTACTCTGATTATTCGCGCGGCGAATTCCTTTCAACAAGCAATAATTGCTTGTTTAAATTGTCGGCGATTTCACTTGGTGCAAATACATCGCGAGTGTTTTGTATCTCGTGCAAAATTATTTGTTAGTAAAATAAACCATAAGATTGAATATTCGATTTGTGAAAAATAGATAGATACTAGAGTCGTTAAAAAATCATTTAATCGTTCACGCATGAAATGACTTTCGACTGTGCAAAAATCTTGCAAGTACTTTGTGAGCTATTACGTTACTGAAATTAAAATAAAATTAAAGATAAATTTCAACAAACAAAATGAAGATAAAATTTTAAGTAAATTTGCATAAGGCAAATTGAAATAAATTTGTAAGTAAAATTACTGTAACAAATTACAAATATCGGATCTATTGATCAATGATGTATGGAGTGATTTGCAACCTTTCGAAACTACTAAGGAAGTTTCGTAATTTTTACAAACGATAATTGGAAGCTTTCCATCTCTCGCAATATCGAACTGTTCGATTTTAAATCGCGGTGATTTATTGCCATGCTAATAGAATTAAAGACCAGAGGGAATGGAAGGTCGATAGAGGAGGCTCTCTGTCTCGAAATACTTATTTTTTCGTTTTGATTTAATATAACAAGAAACAATCATATTGACCGTGAAGGCTCTGACGTAATGGGCAACAACATTGGCGAAAATTTTGGAGCGCAGCTTAAAAATATCCTACTCGAAACAGCTGCGTGGATGGAAAGTTTCCTCTATTCACCAACGACCTGTGAAGTTAGGAAGGGATTCGTGAAAGCTCTCATTGAATACTTTCGATCTTTTTCCAATCGCGGAATTATTAAAATTATTGGCGTTTTAACATGTCTGTACTTTATTTGATATTCGTCGGAAATTTAAATTAATTTTCTGTCAAAGGAGAAAGCAACGAGTGCAACGAGTTGTTTATTGAAATTACCCTGATATTACAATTTATAATACAACGTATAAAAAATGTGTGAAAACGTATAACATAATGTAACATAATTTTGTAATATATTGTAATTAAATTTCTCTCTACATTTCACAGAATATTCATATTTACGAATATTTCTTCTCTCAAGTAGCTTATACCTGTTTGTAACAGAATATTCTACTCGATCAGTTCAATTTTCTCTTATATTTCTTTTAAAAGAAAAGATGGAGATCTTTATTGGATATTGCAGAAGCTAGTTCAATACTTGCAAGGGTATGTTCGAAATATTTGAATACTTTATTCTATGTATTATTGCGTCTAGATAAATTACGATGCTTTGTAGTTTATGTACTAAACAAAATTATATAATATTAAACCAAATGAAAATTGTTGTTATTTCTATACTCAGAGGTAGGATCACAATAGTTATTATTTTATTCAATGGATAAATCTATCACACCGTTGTGAGCCAAAAAAACCTTTATTGCACGCGCTTACAAAAAACTAGGGATAAGAACAAAAAGGCATCTTTATCGATTTAATCTATCGATTGTAACTAGGATCATCCTCTATTTACTATTTCTTATAACTAACGCATCTGCATATGGATGGCGAGCACGAACTCACGTTGTCATTTTCAACAAAAATTAAATATTTTGTTAAGTTTTTAAACAGATCGTAACTTGTCTCACTAAAAATAAGGAAAAAATATCTTTCACTTTATTGTACGAAATTATTATATATAATGCCAACAAATTGACTGTAAAGACCGACTAAAAACAATCTAATATACCATAATAATCCTGAATAATTCTATTATAAGTTGGAATAAAAATTCTGTAACGAAGTACAACTTCTTTTAATCTAATACAGTAGTTCCATAATAATTCTAATGACGGAATTATAAGAAATAAAATTCCAATGGAAATAAGAAAACACACGTTAAGATAGATACACTGTAATCGTTATTAATATAACATATAATCGTTGCAAAATGATCGTTTATAATACGAAGGTAAAGTGTAAAATACGGAAAGATCGGTTGCGGGCGCAGGAACATCAGAAGCGTTTTAAACCAACAATTGTACAATGAAGAGTTTCTAGACCGTTTTGAACACGAGAATCCAGAATAATCCGGAGAATGCGAAGCTAATTAGAGAGCGGAATTAATTACTCGCGGAATGGACGTCGACGAAATTGCAACCGAGGACATGCATGTATCTTCCTTGTTTAACTAATGAGGTTACGTACGCCAACGACAAATTCGTTTGCTGAAATATTCGCGATATCCTTTTGCAGACTGAATGATTATAAATTGTTATTATCTTGATTACGGCATTAACATATGTAGCAAAGATTTTATGAATGAAGCTCGTTTAGAGCAGTGCCCTGTATTGTCTGTGATTATGTTCGTACGTTTGGAAGCTTTCTGCAACGTGTCGCGAACATTTTCATTTTTCAGCGTTTCGTTGCTCGGCGAAAAAAGTGTCCGCTCGAAAGTTGACAGTTCTAACGTATTACGGTTCAAAGAGTTCTCTTGTTTCGACAAATAAATGTTTTCGTTGTTCGTTGCCATCGAATTGATGCATGGTACGCGTTAATTGGAGTTTTTGGTGTTGTAAAAATAAACAGAGGGTTGAGATTACTCCTTTGAAAGGGAAGAACTGCAGCTTTGGCTAAGATAAAAAGAAAGAAAAGAAGATTGAGAATTAATTCAGTTGATTAATACAACGCTTTAGTTAATTAGTACTTTATATTAAATATAATTCGACCAAGATCAGGTAATTCTTTCATGAAATATGTTATCACGATTTGACTGAAATCTTAATTCTAACTGAATTAGAATTTTTGTTATTTCTTTTGCCAGAACTTCCTTTATTTTACATTAATATTAAGTGGAATCCATCCACCAGTAGAAAATCTAATTTAATATAATTCCATTTCACAATTCAGTTTAATTTAAATTGAAAACACAGTTGTTAATGCAAAGCAAAGTAGATGAGTTCAACGTAATTTGATGTGAAACAAGATTTTGTTCGTATGTATTGAAACTTTAAATATCAAATATTCATGTAATTAATCTTGATCAAATTCTGTATGATTAATTCTTCGTGATATAAGTCAAGTTTCTTCGTTAAATAATTTTTTAATTAACTTTTATTACAGTAATGTCAAAGTATTGTATGCAAAATTGTTTAGTTTTTTGCTACTATTGCCGAATTCTATTCGCTTGCCTTCTGTCGAAATATTGCACTGATAGAGAAAAACATAGAAAATTAATTTGTTTGATTGAAGAATAGAGTTACAACATATTCGGCAACTAAATTTCCGCAATCATTATTCTAACGAAAAAATCGCATTCTTCTGACTTAGTCAGCTGCAGAATGCAATTTCATAAAACTAGTGTCACCGATAGCCCCATATTGCTTTTCTACTTCTTCATACGCGTTTTAGTAAAACAATTAAAACATTGATTCGCATAGAAACTCACCTAATATTAAAACGATTTAGATACTCAAACCAGCCAACTAGATTTTTCTAATTACGATCGATCGATCAATGACATTTACCATTCTCCATTTTTTAGTTTCCGAACAAAATTTATAAACAGCTTGTCTATTGCCAATTGTGTAACACATTTGATCGTCAGTGGAATAATGTATGAAATGAAAGCAAATTTCAGTAAAGAGATATATTCCATTAGGATATTAGACCTAATTTTATATAAAATGAATAGAGTGTACAGGATTGTTGTCTTGTTTTTGTAAAAAAATATATTTTTCACAAATATGTACGTATTGATAGCTGTGCAAATTTCGTAGCTTTGGTAGTTTTATTTCCCACTATAATATTCTCTAACATTAAGCATTATATTCTTATTAGAGCATAGGTATATTGATGGATTATACTCTATTAACTCAAACTCATTATTTTTCATTGTATTTCGTTAAAAAACATCCATCATACTGTAACGAGTATAATGAAAAATATAAAAATCGAACTTCTTCGTTCGTATACCATTCATTCTATTTTTATGTCTCGCTGTTCTTCGCAAGTAGCTGTAAACAGCCAGCCAATCGTAATTTTTATGATTTATAGCAGTGAATTTGGAAATTGTATTACGGGACGAGCATATGTTGCACTGTATTTTCCATTAGACACACCAACGCAATTTTTAAATTTACTTCTTTAGATCTGAATTAAATAATTAAAGAAAAATGAAAGAAAATTCTAGTGGAAGTAATAAAAGTTCGAAATTTTCCGTAAGTTAGTATATTTTATATGACACAAAATTGCGTGATATGATTAGTTAGCTCCACGCTAAATTTCAAAAGCGACGCTTTACATCCGCGACGTAAGCTCGTCTCCATCTGGCGGCCTCATCGGAAAAACTCTCGAGCTTTCAAGTTCCCGCGTAAGCTTTCAACTGGTGTTGCCATCTGGACGAATCTTGACGAACCGGTTTTATGTTTATAAATAATCCATTTTACAGCTGAATAGTTGCTTCGTGGTTTAACGTTGATCGTCCATTGGCCTCGTAAATTCATTAAAAAATTCATTCTCATGGCACTTGTCTCTCGAATGTTCGAATCTTGAACATATTAATTTGATGTCAGGACCAGAACCCTCGGTTCCTTGACTTTGTTGAAGCAGAGTCCATTGTGCTTTGTTAAATTGGTTGTTTGCTTTTCTTCTGCTTGAATTAGAAAGATGAACTCTCTGGATCTATGGAGAACATCATTATGGGGTCTGTTGAGTAACATATATTCCATATTGCGAGGGTATTTCTTGAATCTTACTGAAACAGTAAACAAAAATTGAAGTGTGTTTTATTTTATTCTTTACGTTATGCAATGTCGAATAGCTGGAAATAATTATTTTGCCTTCTCGATAGATTTGCATCTTTAACATACGTTTTAATTTATTCGATTTTTACTTCATTTCGATTTTAACGATTCGTACTTTACTAAATTCTAGCTTACATACGGGAATGCTAAAACATTGAACTCATCTGGAATTAACAAAAATTGAACTATGATATTAATACATCTACAAAGATAAAAATATTTATTGACGACAGCAAGATTTAGGAAATTAATACAATGAAATCAGAGCTTTCACGTGTTAAAATCTAATATAAGAAATTCGAGTATAATCAGATTCATTCGAAAAAGGACGATATCTCGGCCCAATATCTTATTGCTACTAAACACGTGCAAATCCATTATAAATTTAATTGACAAAAATTGAGTCATCGTTTGAGAAGAATCCCACTCCTCTCATCTGCTCACCCAGCTGTCCTTATTCCTTTCGAACTGCTAGATCGAATATAGAGATATTTACGTACAACTATTTTCTGTGGCAATTGCCAAAGAAGCTTCACACGATTTACGAAGAGGATTTGCACTTGGCTAGCTTCGTCTCGTAATTTCGCTGGTTTTCTTCCAGACCATCGTTTCCGGAATATCGTGGTGGCGTCGTCGCAACGACTTTCAAATCAGGTTACGGATGAAAAATATCGCCTTCTGCAATGCAAATTCGTTGTAAATATCAAGACGAGTCACAAGCTTAAGTCTCCGTACAATTCGTGCAAATTGCCCGTAAGGAATTTTCGAAGTCAACGCTACTATGTTCCACTGTTAGAATCTATTCTCATGATAATAGTGCTTTTCAGAAGCCAAACTTTGCTTTTCGGAAATTTCTCATCTTGAAAATTATCTAGGTCCGCGATTAACATTCTTGAAAAATAAATATTCTGATCGAACGAGTTTGTTTATCGTAGACAGGTGGCATAATAATAATGCATAGTAAATTAGGCGTATTCAAAGCAATAATATTTTCGTAAGGAAATCGCTTCTCTCTGTTTTTCAATGTTCCAATTGATTACTGTGGCTTTTGAATGGATTAATTAATGGTTCTTCGAGTATTAGTTAACGGGTAAAGGTAAACGATATAAGCTGCATAAGAATTTATAGATTCTCATCTAGTGTTTATCTTGGTGAACGATCAAAGGAAATTGTAGGGATTATTTTTAACTTGCTACCAAAAATAGACGTTTTCGTGGAAGGAAACCGGAGAAAACGATTCTATAAATCTATTTTATCGGTTTATAATAAAAATCTACTTTATTTTGATTTAGACGAGATTTTTATATACATTGATTTATGTTTAGTAGATTCATATTGCAGAAAGCGAAAACGATTTGGGAAATCTACTTTATTACGTGCTAAATCAATATTTTTATCTTCGTCGAGATTCGTGTTATTCGCAAAATTATGCAACTCCATGAACGTCGTAGACAACACTATTTTACATGAATTAAAATATCGTAATCCTCGCTTATTGTGTCTTGTGCTTTCAATATATCAGCGTTGAATTTTTTTAAACTAGAAATCTTTAGAAAAGAAAAAAAGAAAAGAAAGGGTGTGTGCGGCGAGAGATCGGAGATTTATTCGCACGTGACGTTCATAAAGTTCGAAATAACTTTCGAACATTTATTTTTGTCTATATAGTATACTTACGTTTCTTCTTTTTATTGAAACTTCAAACGTCTTCGTTTTGCAAGAAATCGCGAAGAAATCTAAAACACAGTTGAATCCAAACGCATATTATTCGTTTGAAATGAAACCGAGATAAGATTCGCCGTTATAAAGTACAAAAGACAGAAATCTGGAGTTTAAGACGATAAAAGACGCGAATTTACAAAACCACCGAGCAGATGGATAAGGGCGTGTCGTTGTATGCGTGGCTCAAAAGAGAGATGGTATAAGCCGCTGAGAAGGTGAAAATAAAAATCTCAGCCATTAAACCCGAAGAAAGGGTAACTCGACTAACGCAGAAAGAAAGCTTGAAAAGTAAGAAAATGGAAACGTACGAAGGGAGGATTCAGCGAAGCGAGAGAGGTCAGAGACGTGTCGAGTCAGAAAATAGATGAGACACGAAACAGAATTTTCCGTGGCAAAGTCCAGACAAAAAGGAACGAAGAAAATTGACGTACGTTGTTGGCATCATAGAGTCGTAGAGGAACTAAGATATATCTAATACACAGAAAGAAAATTTCATGAGTCAATGCCGCGAAGTTTTTCGTCATTTATCTGTCTTCCTATCTATTTCTTGAATTTCATTTCAAAAATTTCTATATTCCACTTTCCTATCATTTACGTTCATACCTTTTTGACTTGATAATCAGAATAATTTCAGTCGGCTTCTCGATCAAAGCTCGAGAGTATACCCTGAAAAATAGAAATTGGTTAATTTCCATACGCATTCGCGAATCTAAATAGATGCTAACAGTAAGTGAAATTTCATGCTTGAATTTCTATTCTCCGGATTCTTATTTTTATTGGAAAAAGTTGCAAGTAATTCACTCGAATAATGGACGTTTAATGTATTAGAGATATCGACAGGTTGACATTTTGCAAACCTAGTGCGATAAAAGACATAGGTCAGACACAAAGGATCCAGTTTATCTATGGAAGGTTACAAATATTGTTCATCTTCTATATTTTTCTTTTTCATAAAGTCAGAGTGGGATATATCTACAATCTACTCGATTCCATATCTATTGCGAAGATAATTCACTATAAGATTGGAAGACAAAATAAGTGACTTTTGTGAGTAGAGTTAAACGAGTTTGGCTCGTGATGCGAAAGTTTCCTATCGTGATGACATCGATGCATCAATACCTTATTAGTAATTGATTTGTTAGACGCTGAACAAAACGAGATATGTTCTTTCCCATTATTCTTCTACGTTTTTGAGCAGGAAAATAATCTAATACTTTTGGAGTTTCCGATGCGTAAACGGGTTACTAGTTGTAATCAATAAACGATATAACTAGAATTTCGCTCAGAAAGTAATAATGACGTAGTGAGTGAATTACGGCAGGGAATAAAAAATTCAATTAGAAGAAAACTGTTTCATGAATATGCAGGTAATACTACATGGACGAAACAACGTTTTAATAATTAACCATTTTATCACCGTTACTACTAATTATTGTGGAACGTATTTTAATTAAAACACCGTTAACATTTAGTAATGCAATTATAAAATTTTCATACGTACAATTACATGATATTAAAACACGAGATATCATCGCATCTATTTCCATCAATTCTCTGTTTTACTTTTTCTTTACGTGACGACAATTCTAGTGGGATTTTTATTATAATACGCTTTTTTTAGATGCGACCAAAAATAACTAAGGTTAAGTGATAATATTTTTGTGCGGAAATCGTAATATTTCGTTGCGGATGGAAGAATGTTGTACCTGTTTATTTAAGACGTTCATATACAAATCGGTAGTACTTGTATTTTTATTTTTATATTCGTTCCGTTGATCTATAATTATTACGATGCCAAGCTATGAATATTTATCGTTGCGGTAAGCGAATTTTTTTTTAAAGGAAGGATCGAAATAAAGAACAATAAAAATAATGCATAAATTAATGTATAAAGTACGTTTGAAACAGATTAAGTAAGAGATTCGCAAGTAAGCTATTTCCAAGTTATTTGCTATAGTAGCGTAAATTGCTGCGAACTACCCTACTGCAACATGTTATTCCTCTCCCATAAAACATGACTCGGAAAAATTCAAATAAAAAATTACAACTGCTAAAACGTTTATATCAAACCAATAATTCTCTTCCTCAAGAATTGTAAAATTGAATCAATAATGCCAACTGAGTCGCTCGAAAAAATAGAAGTCCATTATAACGGCTGATGTCGTTATGAATAGTCAATTGAAAGAAAAATTTTACCAATCACCGAGAATTCAGATTTCAACAAACGATGCCATTTTCATCATTCAAACCATCGTACAAAACATTTAAACAAACTAGTCTTCTCCAAAGACTATAGAAATCAGCCGATGCTTTCAATCCATTCTAGTCGTTGATACGCCTATAAGCAATCAATTAAAAAAGACAAACAAAAATTGCTCCTTCCTTTATTCTTCGTTTACGTATCACAAAAAAAAAAGGATAGAAAAGGAAAACGATTTCAATAAACTACACTATTTTCCTTGTGAAGGCGCTCGTCCAACAATTTCACTCGGTCCCTCGCCGACAAAAGGCTGCCTTTCAGAGAACGAACGCATATAATGGCCATAAATTCGGTGACGGCGCGTTGCGATCGTAAACGACGTCGATGTCTTATGAGTTCATTCACGTTGCCGCTGCTGTCAACGAGCCAGTTCCACACAGGAATCCGATTTACGAACGCGTAACGTCGATATTTGATTTATTCGGCCGGATCCGCGTGGCCGAAATAGAGATCCGCGTTCTCCATTATTCTTTACGCGTTTCGATCTGCGTCACCGCCCCACCTTGCTTCTCTGTTTGTTTCGTTTTTCAGCCCCGGACGGCGAGAGCCTTTGTCCGCGAGCGAAGCTCGCAATCAACGCCCTTTGTCTCCCTTAAACTCGACCGGCGTTGAAAACTCGACGTGTCGCGCTCGATGAGAACCATCGGCCGTTTTCAGTGATAAATTCCGATCGAAATTCATCGCGGGACAGTGCCGCCTATACGGATTGTATACGAGCGTGGAAATTGATTTGCGCGCCAGGGTTTGATTGTAAGTAAAAGAAAAATGCAGTAATTGGTCACGTTTGAAACGATAGAGAGGCGCGGCTGATGGCCGCTGTGCTTTCGAAGCGTCGTGCGTTTGTGTAATTTGCGTGGTATGGATGACTCTTTTTTAGTCATTTTCAAAGGGGATAGAATTGTAGAATCGTAGGAATTTTTTTCGCGACAGGTCGAGCGAAAATGAAATTATCGACGAAAATCGGACCTGATTATTTCGACTCGTTTTATTAGAGATATTTATTTCACAGGTTTAAGGTGGAGATTGGAATTTAAAGAAAAACACAATTTTGTATATTTATTATTTTTATTTTATATTTAAAACCACAATACACTTTTTATCAAATCACAGAATCGATCGAACAAAATCCAGACAATAAGTTTCGTTCGATAATCCCTTGACATTGTACGTTCCATCCTCGAATCCATCCTCGAGAGTAGCAGCGTCTGAGGGGTAGTCGCGTAGCTCTTCGTCGTGTACCGTCGTCACGAGACGTCGTGGTGGCCATCGTCGTCCTAATTATACGTGTTTCTCCGTATTTCTGGAATTAGACTGAGGATGGGGCGCGGCGCGGTTGACTCTCTCGCGGTAAAGCGGAGGCGTGCTTCTGAAGCTCAGTCGCGCGTGATCCACCTCGAATCGCGCATTCATCCTGCACGAAGAAGCTACTTTCGTGAACAACTTCGTCGCGCCTTCGCAGCAATCAGGCTCGTCCGATGGGGCGTCCACGTAGGTATCGATCCGTGCCCCGAGTACCGATCGATCGTCGATCCTGCTGATCGAGGAACCTTCTCGTCTTCGTCCTTTACGCTCCTAATATCTCAATATTAGAATTTCCTTTCTGTTTCTAATATTTCCTATTATTTTCACTTGCACTCGTACAAATATTTCTTCTATGTGATAAAATTAAATTACTATAAAATTAGAGTTCTATGTTAGATGTAGAGTTTAATAACTGAATAAAATACTTCTAATAAATATAACGAGTCTTTGGATAAAAAGATGAACGTGAAAGTGACTGAAAATAAGAATAGAAATTAGCTTTGAAGAAAGTATCAAGTTGGAGTACTTGGAACAGAGGCTACAGAAGTCTCAGATATTTTAGAGGTGTTCCTCGATCACGCTATCGATATCTACGAGAGAGTCAATCGCTGAGAGATATTCGTTCGAGAAGCAAAACCGTTCGAGTGCGTATCGTGATTCAGTGAGAGGGTTACAATCTTTCTTCTCCGCACGATCGTTGACCAACGCGATCTCAGTGTAGTTTAAGTTGTGAAACGCGAAGAGGATCGCAAACAGTCGCCATGGCAACCACGCAAGTCTTCCAGGACTGGGACTCACCCCATGATACCATCAGCTCCATGACCAGGTCAAGCACTCGTAAAACTACCACCACTACTACCAGCAGGCGAGAGGTAAGATTATTTTGGGTCAAAATAGTGATGACAAAAAGGATAGTGATAAGAATTATAGCTAGAGATAAAGATTGCACGATAAAATTATGCGTTATTTCTATTTTCCATTGATGCACGGTTCGTATTCGATAGATGATAGTTTTGGATCGTAGAGTGGGTTAGCTGTGAATTTATTTAAAACGCAGAGTAAGTTTGGATGCTGGTAAGCCAGCTGTTTACCGTTGCATGCGTGTTTCTGGTTAACTAGACGATGCAGGCTGTTATGTAGGTAGAAATTGTGAACGCAATTTTCTGCAGTTTCGCAACAGCTGAAACTAGGTCTTGTGATGGTTTCTGGAGACGATTGTTTTGGAGATAGGAGACTTATTTTAAATATCGTTAGGATAAACATTAATTATGCGCGAATAAAATTATAAGTTTGGAAGCTTCTTCACTTTCGTTACAAAAAATGGTACTTCTGAAATGACTAATTAAAATACTATAAGCCTGGGAACTTCGAGAAGTAGTAAATTTAGCGAATTTAATGAAAGAACTTCGTGTAGAAGCTAGTATATAATTCTTCATAAGGAGTTTCTTTTTTCTTTTTGGAGTTTGATAAAACAAATCTAGATTGCCTGTGAAGCATGGAAATATATGTTTTCCTGTGGATTAAATTATCGCGTGTGGATTGGCTATAAGCGATATCCTCGGAACCTGCAAGGCATGCACAAAATCCAAATCGATGTTATGCCGCGTGAGTGCAGCCTAAAATTAGAAGCATCCGCGATCAAACACAGCTAATCTGATTCTCGGAAAATTTCAAGTAATATTGCACGATTTTCGTACGACATATCATTTCGTTCTGACAGTTTTGTCGGAAAATTGTACGAGCGGACAGCGTTTATCGTTACATAATTCTGCCTCCTGATATGATCCAACAAATTGAACTCGAAACATATTGCAGTCGGATTGCCTAAAACGTAGCATGAAAATAGCGTTTGCTTCTGCCTGTTGGTCACGATACGGGCAAGCACAGATTAGCTTCCGGTTTCTGTCTCGACCTCGAACATTTTCCACGAGGAAGAAACATCGAGTCTCGAGTGGTGCACGCTTCATCTTCTCGTAAAATACGCGATTGTCGTTGTTGACGGATGACTGTCTGACCAGTAGGCCAAGCATAACATTGCGTTTACGTGAAAACCAGACGATCGAGAGAAATTTTTAGAGTGTGTGGTATGAGAGAAATTTACTTTAAGAATCTTCCTACGAGGATATAGCTAAGATTAACTTTTTTTCAATTAATATTTTTTCTATTGTCTGAGGTACTCTTGAAATATTAAAATATGTACATTGTATGAACCTGAAGGAAAGTTGGACTGTTAAAGGATTTTCTGTGAATCAATGTAGAATAAATATTAAGCATTAATTATATGTTATAGGTGGTTTTTAATAATACACACTATGATGGAATCTATATTGTTGTTATTTCTTTATATTCTTGAAGAAAAAGTTGCTATTTTCAGGTAAAAGATGTTACTTTTCCATTCTCTTAGTTACGATAATTCCAAGTTTCTTGTTTCCTGAAGCTTTGAAGCATTAGTATAATTGTATCAAGCTTACCTTTTTTTTTTTACCACTATATTCATTTTTTATAATTCCTTGCGATTTTATTATAATATTTCATTTTCTGCTATACCTGAAATAGACATAAATCATGTGTGCATTTTGTTCCAAGTCAATCTGTAGAAACAACCTCGATGTACCAAGAACATTATTAAATATAGTTATTAAATTCAATATCACGACAATGAAGTATAGACATTCAGAGAAGATTCTAGTTTGAACAATCAAGAAATAAATCATTTTGAAATTTTACCGAAAATACGGTGGAAAGTATAAAAACGGAGCGTCTTGTACAAGTATGTGTTTAATATCGTTCCCTCTATTCGATCGTGCGTTCGTTTATGAAAAAACCAAATTTATTTGCGCCGTTCCCAGGAGTTTTAATTAACAATATCTCATTCTGCATCGAAAAGTATCTCATCGAAGCGATGGATTTATACATTTCCTCTGCTCTATTTATTTGTTTGTAGTTGCAGCATCGCTATATATACTGCGCACGACTGTCTAGAAAATAAAGTCGTTATAATTATAACAATACAACCGTGACCGAACAATTCGCACAATTATTTGCGTAACTTAACCGAGCTTTTGGAAGCAGTGTTCTCTGCGAGGCTCCTGCGTACATAGGAGCGTTGCCAGGACCCAAGGCCGATCTGCCTCCCCGACTAAAATCGTGATAAACACCCGTGAAAATCGTGAACACGATGAGTAATCTCGTCTCTGTTGGCCGTCTGCTTTTTTACATATTTTCCACCGCTTATAGTCCATTTCCACGAAGACCGAAAGATATAAAAAATTCTAACGAATTTCGTGTGAAATCTCTTAATATTTCGAGAAACACATTTTCTTGCTAATATCCGTTGCTCGTAATATACAGTGGCGCGCAAAAGTTATGAATCAGGTAAATGTTCACTTCATATGTACGTTAAAGAATTTTTGTATCAACGTGTCTTGTAATGTTAGTAAGAACTTTAACGTTGGTATTATTTATTAATTTTAACTATTTTTCCAATGTGTTAGTTTATTTTAGTTGTCATTCTAGAAATTCTTTCAGATATCAATTTTGGAATATACATATGCGAAGCGAAATATTTATCTGATCAGACACTTTTACACATCATTGTATATTCGAGAACATATATCCCACAGGAATAGAAGCTTGGATAGCATTTTATAAACATGTTAAACACGAAAGGTAGCAGCTAAGATAGATATATGTTTGTTTATATAATTTTATATTTTTTAAATTCTAATTTGAACTGAAACAAGCTCGAAATATTTGGTATAGGAAAATTACCATTACTTAATACACGGTGAACAGGCAAAATCTAATATGAATTGTTATTATTCGCACGATGATTGGGTTTGGATTTTGCTCGTGTGATGATTTGTTTATTAAACGATGTTCATACGTCTATTGGCAGATTCAATCACATTATTTCAAGATTTCGTCACGCGTAGTTTATATTTGAAGAAAGCAATGAAATTAGAAAAGAAATCGACGTTGTTCGTAAGAGTAGATATCAACAAATTTAATGTGCGATTAATTAGAATGATCGATCCATATCTTGTTTTGTAATTACAGAAAATAAATGAAAATCTTTTCCTAATGCATCTGGTTGATGTATAAAAAATTCAAACACCTCGGTATTAATATAGATTTTGATTTCATTACAATGCTGTATAGAATGTCTTAATTCAATTTTTTGATATATTTTTTGATTAAGAGTTGCGTGTAACAATAAATTATATCTTTTGTTGTACATTTTGTATGAAAGAGAAATCAGCAGCTTAAATAGAAATTTCACTTAGAGGGGTTTATTTTGTATTTTGCATAATGCGCATAAAACAATGACATAATTACATCAAACATAAATGTGTAAATAAGGAATCATGTGCAATAATAGAAAGTTTGTCAAGGATTTTGCAAGAATTACTATTTATGATACATTTAAGACATTGTTCGACAGTGTACGTACATCATATGCTTTCTATGTGCCTTCCAAGCATGTTTGTATTATCGTTGCCAATTTCGAGGTCAATTTTAAACGACATCATAAATAAATATTATTAATGTTGTTGGATGATGTGCACAGTAATTTAATGATAATGATAGATCGGAATTCGGAGCAGTGGAACGATGCCATTGTTGGTTAGGCATGCGGGCATATGATTTTTAGAATGTCACAGTCGTCGACGTGAAAATGTTAGTCATCGGAGGACAGGTCATAATTTATATTAGCTTTGTTTGAAAATATTTGTTGTTAATATTATACAATATCGCGGATGATAATTTCTTGAAGGAAATTTAGCAAAATGCTGCAAAATTTTTCAAAAATTCAATTTTCGCGCCTTTTATGACAGTACGTTCGTACTAGTACATAACTGTGAACAATTTTGGGATATCGATTGATACTGTTTCTAATTTCTAAACGATAATTCGATCGTCGAAAATTTACGAGCAGGACGAGTTCAATTTTCAGACGAGGTTTTACTTTCCAGACGAAGATATACACGTAATAAAATAATATACATAAATGAATCATGTATGAAACGTAAGAAACATATGAATACCTTTTAATAACAATTTAGTTTGTAATACCACGAAATACTGTTTCACTCAGACTTAACAAATCGACAATCTTCTATCGTAGCATCTACCGACTACGTTCAACTATGTTTAAAGAAAGATATACGCGTCCTTACTTTTCATTTTTAGTCGCTGGACAAATAAATCTCCCGTTTTTACAAATTTAAGTTTTGAGAAAGAAAGAGAGAAAACGTCTGATGAATAATACTTTTGGAAAATAACTGCTAGAGCAACGTTCTTAGTCGACCAACCTTGATGATTCACAACGATATACATACGCTCTATTACACGCTTTTTATATCTTTCACTTCGTTCTCTCTGTTCTAATGTTCTCAAAACACGTGTTTCAATGAACGTTCTCGTTTTAGAGGGCATCGAAAACTTCCTAAACGAACCAAAGCCCATTCAACGGTGAAAATTGTGGATATTCCTCGCGTTTGTTACACATGTTTCGAATTAAACCTATTAATTTTGCAACATGATGGAAAACATTGTAGGAATCGATAAGAAGTGTGTCGATGTTACACGTCCTTCCTATTTCGGTTTCAACTTCTGTATACATTCGGTGTTTTTCCTGGATGATTTTCTATGAGTTACAGATGTTTACTATGGCTGTATCGATGAGATGATTAATCCTTTTCTGTTTGCCATATACAGTTACACATGTCTGTTCTGTTATTTAGGATTAGTTACAACTATCGCACGAAATTTTCCAATTTCACTTGTATAGCTTACGTGTTGTAATTTAGAACAGACATTGCAATATTCTAACATCCTGACATTTAAAATTTGTTACATTCAGTACGCAAAACTGATCCCTTTTATTCTTTGTATTCGATTTTCAATACCTTTATTATGGTTTATCATTTTGGAACATTTTGAAGTGTAGGGAATATTTTGAATGTTCGAAGAGATCAATTTCTTTTATCTATATCAGTATTCATTACTATTTATTTCGTTGTCTTCATAAAATTCAAAATATCCTGCATTCTCTTTCTATCTATTATTGTGACTATGTTATCGCTTATGTTACAATGCAATAAATTATAGAATTCTAAGTGCATCGCCAAAGATCAAGCGTAGATTGCTATGTTATATAGAATTATTCAGTTTAAATCGCAATTTCTTGCGCAAAATTAAAGTTGTACGTTGTATTCACGGCAAAGTGCCATTCTAGCCTTATCCTTAATCATATGACGCAACGTACAATTTTTGGAAGAAATCTTGACGTTGATATATTTATCATTGCACACGGTATACATATTTCCTGTACGATATTAAGTTCATTGCATTTCGTATTTGCATTTTTTTCTATCAGGTTGCTGCACTTTTTTCGATAAATTCGATATTTCTCACGATGATCGAATAACTAATGATCCCTCTATCGTTTTTACTTAAAGAAATGTTCTTAAACATTATTGTAAAATGATATGAATGTTATTGGATTGTTGAATTGCGAAGGATTTTTTAATTATTCGTTGTTATGCTCGCGAGGAAGTTTGGAATTGTTATACGTAATAACAATTTTTTATAAATATTCTGTTAACGTTGTTTATAGTATAAGATGTATGCTCGTATGTTGTACATGATGTAATAATGAATTATATGAGACACTTCTTAGCTTTGTTTTATGATAGGATACCACACTCTTGGCGTAGATTGTGGTTCACGTGTGACGAGTCACACTCGTGACGAAGTTTAATTTTGGTTCACAAACTCGAGGAATGATGAACACATGTTCCGTATAGTATATCGATGTTCTTCGTTCATTCAAGTGTTACAGTAGGAAACGTTATGAACCCTACCGTATGCACATACACGTGTAAGATGACTCATAAGTCAAGGGGTGGATTAGGTTAGAGAAAGATAAATAGAAACGAATATAAATAGAATTCTTTTACTAGAATACTTTTTGAATATACGAAAGTGGGTAAAGATCATCAGGTGATTCCCTAATGTCGTACCTTGACTTTCTAATCACAGAGTTATAGTATAATAATCAAATATTTGAAATTCAAAAATCTTACCAATTTTCTGAAACAGAAATTCAAAGATTGGCAAAATGATAAAATGGTCCTAGAAAGTAACCGATAATACGCAATTCATTAATAGTCCGCGAGTTTTTATGCATCTATAGAAAATTTGACAGTGATAAATTGCAGGAAACGCGCATAACATGACAAGATATATAAAATATGTAAATTACAGTGCTTTCTGTAATACTTGTCAGATAAAAACATCTCTTTACCGAGGCTCTACCTTTTTAATCATCTTCTCGAAGGTATGAATTTCCATAAAAATTCAATCTGTTCATTGGTAATAAATGCGAAATTAAATAACGCTTTACACAGCGTCAGGCAAATATCTAAAATATAATGAAGGCTGTACGATGGCAACGTTTCTGGAGAAATGAACTCGAAGCAAGGGAAGGAATTTCTTGAACCGATGACAGTTTTCGTTTGTAGGGACGATCGTTTTCAGAAAGGGAATGAGTTGGCTTATTGCAGGAGGGTAACGCTGTCAGACGTAAACGATTATTTCAAGTGGACGCATCGCGACGTCGAAAGACGCGTAGCCGAGGCCTCTGGAAATAGAAGAGTGACACAAGAGTGAAGGCCTGCGGCGTACGAGAGCCGCGAATGCACCGTAAAGCTGCTTATTTTAAATAGGAGCAACGTCGACGCGATCTGCCTGCTCTCACGAAGGCTCCGCCGATGGAAATAGCAGAGGCCGTTTAATGAATTATCCGTTACGTTTGCGCGTGTTCGTTTCGAGATCGTAAACAGTGAATCGGGACCCTCCATTACCTTCCGCAATTCCAGCAAATCACGAGATCTTTCAGCTCTTTCTTAATCCTCTGTAAGAACGAAGAATGTTTCCTTGAATGTTGATTATGAGAAAGATTGTTATAGAGTTGAAATGAATGATCTGTTTAGTGGGAATGAATGTAAATTTTGTTGCAGTATTTGCTACTCAGAAACAATTAGTAACTTGATACTAATAGACTAAACCAATAGTGCGATATTTGTGACGAAATTGTAATGTTAACTTTTATTCTGATAAATATATAATTATATATTATTTATTTATATTATTGATTAATAAATTATATTATTGAAAGAATGCTACACAGTTTTGGCATCTAGAACAGGTTGTCACCTAACTGATTAAACGATGAATATCGTTTATATTTATTATTCGCTTTTTGTAATATTGTTTCTTATCTTGGATTGGAACGACATGTTACGCTTATAGGATATTTTCATTAAACTTATAAGGTATATTTTTGTATGCGAAATATTTTAATAGGCTTATCTACGAACGAGAGTTATTCAGGTGTTGAAAGTATTTAAGCAATTCTTTTTTAGAACTGGAGAATATTCCTTTTTAAGCTTAGAAAAGCTTAGAATCAAACTTTCTGTTTATTGGAATAAATTGTTCATATTTAGAACGAACGATGAAACTAGGAAGTAAATAGAAAAAAGGAAACAATGGATAATACGATATACTGAGTAAAATACTATCATCGAGCGTGATGTAATATGAATTTTCCTCTTAACGATCTAAAAGTAAATGTGGAGATAGGAAACAATGGGTAATGTAATACTGTGAATCCAATCTTGTCATTAAGAGACGAGAGTGATGTAATATAAATTTTCTCTTAAGGATCATGAATGGAAACTTGATTTTAAATATCGAATAGACGTATTTCGAGATATGCCAGAAATTTATACGATTATTGAAATAATATTACAACTGATTATTAATTAAAATATTAAGAATTTTTCGTAAAATATTTCAAGTAAAATCGTATTTTTCTTCTTTGCATAAAATTTAAACGTATGTACCTCGTAGATAGTAGAATTAATTTGCATTGAACACAGCAAGAATATATTAAAATTGATAAGAAAACAACGAGAAACAATCGAGATATCATTCGACATTTTACTACTATGCTATTCTTAGGGATTTTGGACTTGCAAATTCTAATTAATTTTCTGTAATGTCGTATTTTAATTTTTTGTCGAAATATATATCTGAAAATTTAAAATACAATGATTATCCCAAAAGTAACTTAAGAACTTGCTGCTGAAACTGCCTCATATAGTTTCACGTATTTGATTGTACGTAAATCAGGATATCGGAATGCATTCCAGATAACATAATTCAACGAGAATTCCTTTTTTCTATGTCTAAAAATAGCAATCGCTTAACTGTGCTCAATTAAGAATTTGAAAAATAACAAAATTTCTGGATCGTTACCTTGCGATCATAAATTCAGGTCGCGACAGTAGAACGATTCCACTTGTGGTCAGACGCAACTTTTAGAGCATGACGGATACCTTGAATGGCCTCGAATAACCTTGCACCACAGGTCGTTGCGCTGATATTTGATCTCACTACCACTAAACCATGAAAAGAAAACGATATCCCGCAGTTAAATATTCAAACAGGTTTCAAGTTACCTATATTTACGATATATTTAGAACTTGAAATCATTGATTCTAAAATCGCATCGTAATGAGACATTATTCACTATCAGGATGATCAATTGGTAACTTTTTATAGAAATACAACAGCCTTTATAGAAATAATGCCTTCTGCAATCCTTTAGCAAACCTAGACATCTCTCTGGAATTGATGATCCATAGATTCATCAAATTGAACATCCTCGTCTATACAACCAGAACGTATCCGATTGCTTGCAAGACCTCAAACTTTCGTTCTTGATTAATGAAAACCGTTTTGTACAAATGCTTTCGCTTTCGTTCGTCTCGCGACGATCCAAGAATTTCATCTCTGACCAATCGACTTTGTCGAATTTTGAGAGTAAATTTGATCCATCTGCTCAGGAGCAACAGCTTTACGTGTTCAGCTGAAGAATCAATCTTCCGTGATAGTCCAAAACAAACGCACAATAACACGGATTAAAGGATAAAGAGATCGAAGAATCCCTTTGAGGTGCTTTATCGCACCAGAAGAAACGACGTCGCGCGTGCTTTCATGTCACAAGCTCGAGCACACGGTTGGCATGCTAATTACGTGGTTGCGGACCCTAACTACACTAACAGAGTATCTCACAAAGAAATGCTCATCCCAGTCGCATCGCGAGACACAAGGCAGCCATCAATCACAGTCACAGTACATCGCATCTGATGTTATCTTGGCGAATCCCGGGGAAAGCGGTAGGACAAGGCCCGGATGTCCCGAACTTGTGCATCTGGCAAGTCTTTCGTGGCCATAAAAGCGGCTCCGGCTCTGTGCCATTTAAACCACGGTCGGAAAAGAGCGTTCCACGAGATCCATAGTCACGGTGATAATTAAGCCGCTTTATGATGCATCGTCGAGCGGGAACGATGAATCGTTCGCGAGGATGATAAACGAACATGCGGACGAGACACGCGGACGAGTCTTCGAGACGCAGATAAAACGCGTTCTTAGAAATCTGCAAATGTCACCGTAGTCCAACAAACGATGCTTATGATGAAATTACCGATTTTCAAGATTTCGTGGTTTCTACTGGACTTGTCTTTTAGTTAAGTCCAAGAGAAAGATAAGAGCATTGTTTGTTGTTGTCGTTCTTTTCGATAAGACGACGTTAAGCCTTATATTTATATCTATGAAGAACATAGGCAAAAGTGGATCTTCGATTTTGTCTGTCTCATGTGCCAAATATACATATATTTTAGTCTTGCGAAAATTTGTGTTAATCACAAGAAACCAAGTAATTTGGATCATTGGAAAAATCGCTCGAGAAAGACGAAAAATTATTTATCCACCATTTGGTGTTCTTATACCTCGAAAGCTAATCGATACTTGCATCCACCGTTTGTTAGGATTTTTGTCTTTTTTGAAACAAGCTACCGAAGCTTGCACTGAGTTTTCTGAAACATTCTGTAAATGGCAAAAAATTAGCATGAAAGAAGCGGTGCCTAGATTATTTAATACAATTAACAGCTCCTACATGGATAGATTGAGGTTAGGTTGAGGTTAGGTTGGGGTTAGGATTTCAAATTGTTCTTCCATTTCGCTACGAGCTTTCGAACAGGCCAATAGAAAGGAACTCGTTTAGCCGAAAGGATTTATAGTCGTGGAATTCGTATTTTCTTTCTCGTCTCGTGTTCGTTGCCTTCGCAATCGAATTGTGTGAAAAATGAAGACGCGAATCGTTCCACCAAAGACGATAGAACCCCTCTACGTAATGGAGACTGGCAGGCATGCGTGGCTGAATGAGATAAATGGCGGCCAACGCGAGCTAACATTCACCTTCCGCGATGGAATCTCGCGGCCTACCGAATCCGTGCGCGGATATTATTTGCGGTGGCCAACGTTCCGCTGCTATTACGAGCTACCAGTGAATAGTTCGGGCTATTTCGTGCGACCGTTAATGAAGAACAGGCTTTGAAGTAGCGTCGTGGGACTGGAACGGTTTATAGAAGTTGTGGCTGTATTTAGAATTACTATTAATTCTTAGGCTATGCAATAAAACGAGGGAAAATTTATAATGTAAGATTTAGAAGATTATTATGAGGATCACTTGGAAGAATATGACGAAACTGTCTCTGTTGATTTTTCTATTTCGACGCTAGTCGATGGTTGGAGCAGAGTATTTTAATATATTTACGTAGGTACTTGGGAAGGAGGTTTGTTAAAACCAAAGATACGAGCCTTTTAGAAACTGTTTATATAGGATGGTAGGATTGTTAACTGGTGGTACAAGCGGAAAGGGGGTGATTCTACGCGAAAAAAGAAGTCGAAAATATAGAATAAAAATTTAAAAAAAAATTCGAAAATTTAAAAATTTGAAAATTCAAAAATATAAAAATTTAAAAATTTAAAAATTTAAAAATTTGAAAATTTAAAAATTCGAAAATTTAAAAATTTGAAAATTCAAAAATATAAAAATTTAAAAATTTAAAAATTTAAAAATTTGAAAATTTAAAAATTCGAAAATTTAAAAATTTGAAAATTCAAAAATATAAAAATTTAAAAATTTAAAAATTTAAAAATTTAAAATTTTATAAATTTAAAAAGTAACGTCAATCGAGACAACGATCTACAATGAGATCCGTTATAACGTGATAAAGTGCACGCGTACCGAGCGAAAATTCAAAGTCGATTTTCTCGAAAACAAAACCTCAAACGAAAAATTGTTATTCTATACTTTCGACTTCTTTTTTCGCGTAGTATCACCCCCTTTCCTGCTTGTACCACCAGTTACCAACCACTCTGTATATCTACGAGGTTCCATAACAAGCGAATGACACGATGTTACGAATAAACAATATTTCTGAAATATTGAAGGAAGTTTGTAAAGATACGAATGAAGGAATGAATGACGAGGAAAACAATATTTTGCAAATCCTTGGAGTCCCTTCTTGTAGTCACAATAATGAAAAATAGCATTCGATAATTCAAATTGCTTTTGAAAATATTATTAATGAAATATTATGTTATGCAATAATGTAAATTGTCGTATTAATAAAATGTTTGTGTCCTTAATGGGTTTAGTAGAAAGCAATAGGAGACGATACATGATATTGTTTCTTTGTGCTCCAAGTGTAATTCACGTATTCTCAATAATAACTCGTTAATAAATAATAAATTGTGATTTAAGGCAACCTTTAAACGTAAAGTTCAAGAGGCGTAGTCTTTGGACGCCTGTGGATGGGCAATTCGCCAAACATCGCCATTTTCGTCGAGTTTTCGTAAAATTTTGGATAAGAAATAGCATGTCGATTGATATGGAGACTACACACATGTTCCGGTCTTGCATTTATGTAAGTCCTAGAAGTAGTTTATATTATTAGCCACAATGTTCTTTTAACATAGCAAGAGACTACCGTGCATAATTCATGATTTATAACGCGTTATTTAAAATGTAAATGAAGGAAGTAAAACGCAATTGGGTTATGCATCTAATGCTATTTTACGGTATGCATGTAAAGTGGTAAAGTATTTTAGATATTTCACAAATAGTATAAATAATTCGATACAATTTCCTACATACTTACGTACGTATAAAAATAATATTATCTAATGTAATATTCGCCTGTAAAGTTTATTTCAAATATAAATATGAAAATATCCGTTCGTTTCATGATCGATGCATTGCAATGGCAAGAACACCTTCCATAAATTGAAGAATATTTTGTACCAGTGCATGAATATTTTTCATATTGTTGGATTTATCTAGTTTAATTGGAAGCATCGAGTAAAATTTTCAGCAAAAGAGAAATTAGAAATTAAAATTTTACTGCGATATTTTCTGCAAAAGAGAAATTAGAAATTAAAATTTTACTGAGATATTTTCTATACATTGAAGCAGTTGAACTCCTAAGAAGCATGAATAATTCTAGAAACGCCCCAGAAACAAAATAGTATCCGTGCTTTTGTGTTATTACATTTCCAGTAAAGAGATAGTTGGGCAATGGTCGTAAACGGTTTAGTGAAATATAATGCTTGAAGTACTAAAACGCATACAACTTACTTGGCTCTTTTCCACTCTACCGTTTAAGTATCTACTTAATTATAATGTAAATTAATATTTCAATAAAGGCCACCGTAAAAGACACAAGGTAGCTAGTTTATTCTTATCGTTGTTATTTAAATATTCTGAACTTTGAAATAATATCTGCCATCAACCAAACGCAACATACTTACAAAGATATGAGAAACTTCATTTATTCTTATTGTTCATTCGTTCTTCGTTTATTTGTTATGTACATATTCCGAAGAACCAAGGCAATGTCCAAAGCTAAAAGTTACATTCATACACTATATTGGAAAATCTATTTTCAAATTTTTCTCTTTCAGCTTACGATATAGCTCGTGATAAATTGTAGCTCATAACAAAGATAAACAAAATCATATTTGCAAAAGTGTCATAAAATATAATTCATTATGTATTACGATGTAATACATTGCAGCTGACAGGTAAACATCGTTATGTTTGAAAGAAAAAGATAAATCGGAAGCTTTTGTTTGATGATGAAAGATGGAAGTTTCCGTGTAGTATGCACCGATTTTTCCAGCGGTGACGTGCACTTGTTAGCAAATTTTCTGCATTGACAACGACGGATGTTGCTTCTCATTTGTCACCGGTTCTGAGGTATTTTGGCGATGGCCTACAAACTTTCAGCGAGATGCACGTGCTTGGAACTTAAATGTTCATTGCGATCAGCCTTGCGACTGTAAGCTCCGTCAGCTGCGTACAATATTTTAAGACGAAAGCCTCTTCAAAAGATGCGAATCGTTTCTTCCAGACTGTTGTATATAAAACGAAATTATTCAACGTGAAAGATGTTCATCCATCGTTCAAATTTCATATGGGCAGAAGTTATTTAACTTAATAAGTTGTACTATATACGATGCTTCAAAACTGATTTATGTTTAGCTATCATAGTATTTTTTACAAAAGAAATCTACAGATATTCAAAATTCATCCTTTGTAGCAAGCAGAATCGTTCTAAAATTACTTGAAAGATTCTGGCAAAATTATTTAGATATTTTTCCAATAGTCGAATTTCGTATTTTATCGAAAAAAGATGAAACAAAAATAATAATAAGATAAGCCTTTAACACACAGGCAGAGAATTAATTTTCATTCGCATTATAAATCTTACGAGAGGGAGAGTAGCAATTCCGGAAAAATAAAGTTTACGATTGAGAAAACGATATTGCGGTTATAATTCTTTTATTTGCCGTTACCTGAAATACGTAATCTTCTATGCTGTTACGGTTCGCTTTTAAATGCGAGAATTATTGCTGCACCGTTTATTTGTCTGCTTTAGACTGTTTATATCACAGATTAGACTTGGGCAATTTTCTGAGCAAATGTACACACGCAAATTGTAGATGCTTCTCCTTAGAATTTGAACTGCGAATATTTCGATAATTTCATATCTAGTTCTCCTTTCGATATTTCCTTTCGATTTTATATTAAGCATTTTTCTAAAATGTAAAAGACCTTCTCCATCGTCGAGACAGCAACGAGATTGAAATATACAAATTCGATGATCGCAACACGTTTAAAGTCATCGTACGGTTTCGTCCAAGTCTACAATTCGCGCAACGCCATACCAAATCCTGCGTCTTAGTAGAATCTAAAATAGAATCTCGCAAAAATCATCAGGCAAAATCTCAACGTCTATCCGAGTACCCGTCAAACGAATCCGCATCTCGGTTCCTCGTCGAAAAAACAGCACATGCGCGATTTTCCGCGTCAAAGTACACGACATCTGGCACAGAATTCGGGCAGAAATAACGCGAGAGAAATGAAGAGAAAGAAGCGGCGTGTATTACGCAACCGAGCTTACATATGTAAGTATGGTTGCGTGATTTTTTCGCCGCGAAACGCAGCAGGAAGTTTCGCTGTTTGCTCGAACAGTATCGAGCATGAGCCAGGAAGAAGACGGATCCTTTTACCATGACAAATTGTTGGTAGAGATAGATTGCTAGAAACTCGTTAATTCGATATCGGTACAAAGTTTCCGCTCGTTGGCATGTAACGATAGCTGGCACATATTCTTTGGCGCTCGACATTGCGAGCGTTTCGCTTTTCTTCCAGTCGACGCGATTAAAATCCCATTTAACACGTTCCGCATCTCAGAAGAAATTTAAACGGAATTTTGAACGAATGACAAGATATATGGCGTAATTTTTGGACAGATGAACCTCGTTTTGGAGAATTTTTATGTTCGAATATTTTGAAGTCCCAAATATAAAAATTTTATTCAGGCGAAAGGTTTCAGATTTCAATATTCTTTTATTGTATCGGCTAATTTAAAAGATTTTTATAGCAGAGATGCAGAAATGCATATAGCAAGATTTATCATAGAAGAAATAGATGACTTTGATGGATCTATGCCGATTCATTACAGAACACTGTGCCAAACCACAAATTTATCGTTGAATAAGCGTAGGCTCCAACGATAAGCTTCAGAAGCGAACTAACTTTTTATCAACAGTTCGATTAAT